ATGCTTTTCGATGTTTTAAGAAAAGAGGCACTTTTCTCTTGGACCACCCTCAGGTCTAGTTCTGATGTCTGGAACACTTTCCTTGAAATGCAGCAGTGTGTTTGCTAGTTAATGCTCCCATGGGAAAGATCATAACTTTTTCCACAGCAGTGGAACACCCTAATCCTTACCAAAGTTTACTGTTAACACTTGCATCTTACTTGTACCCATTCTTCCATTTGCTTTGAATAAGACCTTCTAAACTAAAGAAAAATGTCTAGGAGAGATCTTTCTTCCTCTGCAGAAGCAGGTTACTGTGCGTTAACACAAGATTTCATGAAATGCCCATCAAAGGTGAAATCCACGCTAACCTCAGCAGAAGCAGCGATGAGCAAGGCAAAGAACAGTGTCTGCAAGGAAGAGGCCTAAGATTCAATTACATGAGAATRTTGTTTATTTAGAAAGCTATTGCTCTATCATTGGCAGGAATCAGTGAAACAGAAGCATCCGTCATTTAGCCTTTGGCTACTGTTGAGCTAATGCTCAGATTTCCATGTTCTGTACACAGTGTACTCAGACATGTACCATCCAGAGCATCCTTTGCAGCCTCAAAACACAACTGACATGTAGGGGCTCTTCTTGGAAGTGTTCTGTATTTTCTGTTTTCTAACAGATTTCCCAATTGTATTTTTTCTAATCCTTACCACAAGGGGATTCTAGAGCACAGTTGTTTCACACAGCACCAAGTGGGCAGCTACTCAGACACTACTTGTACTGCTTAAGAGACAGTTAAATGTTCTTTTAGTGTCCTGGAGGTGTTCTCAGTTTCTCATGGCTAATAGGAGTGCATGTTTGTGTGAGGATGCATGTTTGTGTGAGGAGGTAGGTCACAGGGCAGAAAAATGAGACCTGAGATAGTGGAAAAAATTACAGTAGTGGAAAACAGAGAAAATCTTGCCCAGGCTTCCACAGCTCGAGGTCTTTCAACACCTCATCTTCTCTGTCAGCTTGTGAAAAAATACAGGTTCCTACATGCAGACCAGTCGCAGAGGCAGCATTGATGCGTTTGTCTTTATGCTGATATCGAGGGGGCTAGAGGTGATGAGACATCTTTGCTTGAAAGTAGATCACCTACTGAAAGGAAATATTGATAAATATGGGATTATTCAACAGGTGAGGTATTTTTCCCCCTTCACATCTCCCTGTGCCTGCACCCAGTGCAGCCCCGGGGTCTGTTGATGAGGCCCCACTGTCTGCTCGTGAGCTGCTCAGAGGGTCTGTCCTTTAGGGCTACTGAGGAGCCCATATTAGCTGTCTTAGAACTTTTTGTCTGTTCATTCTTAGTCTTTGGAGAAAATCAGACTAGAGAGTGAAAGGCTGTGATTGACTTTCTGGATGCTCCTGAAAAAAGCATTTTTGAACGCAGCACCCAGGGAAAGGAGTGACTCTCCCATCTTTCTTTCTCTCCTAGGTTCCTCCAGGTTCAACAGCAGAGGCTCCACGATGCTGGGCACTCCAGGAAGGCTCCTCGAAGCCCTGCTTGAAGCACTGGCAGGCTGTGAATATGGGAAGCGGTCTGAGCGGAGCTGGCAGGTGCTGAGCATGGGCATGTGGTCTACGGAGGAGTCTAGAGCTAGCTCTGCAAGTGCCCTCTCCAAAACCTTTACTGAGCTTTYTGAATCCTGCCTTAAAATACCTTTCACTTCCCAGGTTTTTCATACTCCAGATCTTTCCTGCAGTTAAAAACAAAAAAACGAGCTATATTTGGTCTTTCACACCATGTTGTCATTAATCTGTCATCATTTGTTATTAGGGCATGTTATAAATCATTAAAAGTGTAGAGGCAAGCTTTCCCATAGAAATTTGGCTCCAGCTGTGCAGTTGCTACTGCTGAGTGACACCTGCTATGTTTCCCTTTTCCCAGGAACAAGGTGCTTTTGGGAAAACACAGCATTTAGCCTGAGAGCCCTGGGAAGGGAGCAGCAAGAAGATGTTGTTTCACTCTGCAGCATCTGCCTGGTGACTTGCTCCTCCTTTCACCTAGCAGGAAAGCTGGGAGGAAAGAGAAGCTGGACTTGCACTTATCTGTCTTTGTGGAGAAACTGTGTTCCTCAGCAGGTTAAATATTGTGGCTATTGTGGCCTCCTTTGAGCAGCATTCATTCATCTGAAAGGCAAACTGAGGCTCTGACTGGATTCAAATTTTTTTTTAGGTTTTTTAAACATCTAAGGACAAATAATTCTTGTCAATGTAGCTGGCCTTGGAGATGTTTATTAACTAATTAAGCTGCCACATGCAAAGGACGGAATTGAAACCACAGCCTCAGTTAAAATTTAGCTACTTTATTAAGTTGAGCAGGTCTGGCTCGCATCCTGAATTGCTGTCATCCTTTAATACTAGAAAATACTACCCCTTATTTTATTGGTAAATGCAAATAATAGCACTGACATACTGATGAACACCCTAGCATGTAACAGGATTTGGGGCGGGGGGAAGGTAATTTTACAAAATATCCTGAATTTGGTGTWAAGGTTGGGCCAGGGTGCTGCATCTCTGCAATRCTTTTTAGAATGCAAGATGAACAGRGTTCATTTGCTATGTAAGTTTCAATGAAAATAAAACGGAGATTCTCAGGAGTAGGGAGAAGGGAAAGCAATTTTCATGCAATTTCAGCTCGCTGAAAATCCTCTGTTGGTAGGGCTACTTCAGCAAAGAAAGGACAAACCTTTAAACTCTCCAACATCAAGCATTCACGTGCTACTATCGTTAATTGTCAYGATACAATGTTATTTTCTCCCAAGTACCATCATTCTTATTTCTAGTTTATAGTATATGTTTGTATCTATCTGTATTTAGAAACAACCCTTTTTGTGCTCAGCTTGTGAAGCCTGGGGTTCACCCAAAGTCAATCTATGCCKCAGGACCAAGGGGACTGTTGAGCGATGATTGCACAAAAGCTCAAGTGAAGAGTCTATTTCCCTTCCTCTGGGGTCAGGTACTTCCACCGTTTTTGGAAACAGAAATAGGAAATATTGAAGTGTCTAGGAGGTGATAATATCTGTATTTCTTGAACTTCCTGCTGGAACATGGCAACCAGTACAAATTCTGTCTTGTATATGGTGATCCATGTATCAAGCTCTAAGGACAGTGTTTATTTACTTGGTCCAGTCATGATTTGAAATAAAGGCCCTGTCTTATAGTTGGTCTCTCAGTTGTACCCTCTACTGTGGGGTTCAGCCCTAACCATGTGAAAACACAAATTCTAATTCTAAATTGGCATTTAACAGTTTCAAGGCTGATGGTGCAAAAAAAACCTACTTATTTGTTGCTAGGAAATCTCATTTTGAAAGGCAGACCATTGGGGTCACTTGGCTGTTCTGCAGAATCAGGCCTTGTAATCTGAGTCCATTCCTGGCACCTGTAACTGTGGTCATTTCCACGCAGGTCTTTTTTGAGCTGCTTTGTATCTTCCTTTTCTAATACATTACCATGGAAACAAATCTTTCTGTGTATGCATGTGTGTATGTATGTGTGTATGTATGTGTGTATATATACACATGAATTTCATATATATCCTTGACAAAAACATATATATTCACATGCTGGTGAATTCGCACGCTTTATTTTGGGGTATTCTCTTTCCAGCGCTCACGTCTCCAGCAGTGCTGCTGCTGCGAGGTTTCTTGTCTCCAGCTGCCACTAGGTGGTATTGCTTCAGCAGGCACCTTCACACCTGCTGGCCACCTTCCCYAAAACGAAGCCCCAACAAGGGCTCGGTCTGAAGTTCAAAATTACCTCCTTACCCCTAAAAGGGCCCAGATGGACGGAATTAAGCAAATAAATACGGGGCTGCATTAACATGTTACTGTTAATCTTTTACGGGCAGACTGCCAGGCAGTGCACAGGGACTAGCTGTAGCATGAACGGAACTGAGGAGATGGCAAAAAAGCTCCAAGGCCTGGACAGGAGCGGCCAGAACAACCACAGCAAAGAGGTTTTTTTTTTTGTTGTTGTTTTTTTTTTTTTTGTGTTTACCATTTGTGGGACAGTCAGGAATCCCTTCACCTGGAGGCAGTAGTGTCTGTGCACGCACTGCTGGCAATATCTGGTTTCTTTATTGCTGATTTCTTATATTCTTCAAGCATCTGTTGGTGACAGTTAAAGGGTTAGCAGCCCTTCAGCCTCGGCCAAATAAGCAGTTTTGTTGTCACGCAGTTTTGCTTAAGGGCAAGTTTATTTTAGCTCTGTAACCCACAAGATAAAATAGATGGGAGAAAAACAATCAATCAGACAGAATATTGGAAGCATAAAAGCTGAAGCAGACTGACAAAGCTTTTTGAGCTCCAGATGTTCTAAAATAACCAAAGCAAAAATGTGAAGAAAAAACATTTTTTTCCACATTCATAAAAATCTTGTAATAGGTTATTTCTTTTCAGTGTTTGTGACTGAAAACCGTTTAAATATGCAGGAGGTTATTCAACCCAACTGTTACAAGTCTGGTGGCCCAAAGAACCGGACTAATGAAATATGAGCTTTTTTTTTTTTTTTTTTTTTTTTTTTTAATTAAGAAAGGAGGACTTGCACTGGTAAAACCTTGTGTGCCTTTGCTTCTTCCTAATACTTGATATATATCTTTATGGTAAATTTTATAGGGTGTGAGACTATTCTATGTTTCTGTGTTTCCTCGTTTTGTGATTCAACCTTATATCCTTGCTACTGAGCTAGTTTGTTCATTGCTACGTGTGACAGATSTAACGCGAGGGAGGGGCCCTTCGAGCTGCACCCACTGCTGAAAGAAGCGCTTTATGTCGCTAAACGCCCCTTCGGGAGGTGCCCGGGTTGTGCTACGCGGCATCCTCGGTAAACGGGGGCTGAAAGGCCGCGATCCCGCGCGCGGCGGGACAGGCCGCGGCCGCGCCGTCGCCATGGCGACCGCGCGGCGCACGCCGGGAGCGCGTCCCCCGCGGAGGTCACGTGGGGCGCGCGCGGGCAGTCAGGTGACCGGAAGCGGCGGCAGAGCGGCCATGGAGCGGTACGAGAAGGCGGCGCTGAGCGCGGGCCCGATGCTCGAGCCCAGGTGGGGACCGGGGGGAGGCGCACGGGGGGAGCCGGGGCCTCCATTTCCCAGAGCTTGGAGCCGGTCCTGGCGGATAAACCACCCGCGCTGCCCCCTGGGCCGCGTAGCGAGCGAGGGCAGCAGCCCCGCGAGTGCCGAAGCCCCGCGCGGCGGACACCGGTGCTTCCTAGTCACTCTCAAGAGGATGCGAGCCCGTTTTCTTGTTTGTTTAAATTCTCACTTTGCAAAGAAACGYGTAGGATGTAGTGTAGCATGCTGTGGCGTAAATACGTACAATAAAACGTTCTGCTCATTCCGAAAGCCCCATGTGAGTGCCTGGAGGTGTTGGGAACTACGCACCTCCTTTCGGAGCATGTTTGTGCTTCAGAGTCTTACGGACACAGGTCACTGATTCCATCGGGCTCTCAAAGTCAGGAGGGAGTTGCTTGGCTCATGCATTTGCATCAGCATGAAATAAGGAAGCAGAGGGAGGGAAGCTCAAGGGAAGGCCAGAAGTCCAAGCTGCACTTGGTAGTTTAGGCATAAAGGCTGTTCCAGTGGGTGCAGTCCAGGGGATGCCTTAGCAAGTGTGTAAGCTTTCAGTGCAACTCTCTTGTTCTTCAGCATCTTTTAGATTTGCCTCTCTGAAGAGGGGAAAGAGGGGGAAGACTGAAGTTTTCATGTATTCGCCCCATATTCTAGTAGTTGCTGCCGTTATTTTAACTTCTTCTRTGGCAACTGAAAGAAATACTTTTAAAGAGGGGCAATACACAATAGAAAGGAACTGAATTTCCAGCAGTTAAAATGTTAAGCTCTTCTGAGTACTTCTCTCAGTTCTAGTCTGTGTATTTGTCATTTTCCAGGTCTGGTAGATGATTTTCCAGAAAAAGAAATAGGGGAACTTGGRAGGATTTGATGCAAAGCACTGTCATGTGTGCCTGTTTTCTGATGTTAGTTATCTAATGAATATGTAAAGTACTGATAAATGTTAATATGAAATCTGTGTTTTTAATGCTAATAAATTAATAATGGAGAGGAGAAATTGGAATACAGTTACTAGTCTGRTTTTGCAGCTTTAACTAGCAGAGTCAGTTTGAACACTGTCATTTTCAGTGCTGTCTAGGAAATGCATTTTTGAAGTCATCATTGCTTTGAAATGACAAATGTACTCAATTCTTAAAGGAGCTGCCTTATTTTTACTGTTTCAAGATGCAGAGATATCCTAGGTCAGGGATATATGTTGTGCCTTTTTGTATATAATTCTTCTTGTTTGTTTCAGAACTGAGGGTTCATTAACATCAACTTTAAGAACACTTCTGTTCTTCACAGCTTTAATGATCACATTACCTATTGGGCTGTATTTTTCATCAAAGGCTTATATATTTGAAGGTAATTTTGTTCCTACTGATTAGTAATACTATTGCAAAAAGAGGAAAATTGTTCTTTAATAGCGTCTTAGAGCTCCTTCCTATGTGTTCCTGTTTTGAATATCTGTTTCCTTTGGCAAGCTAAAGTCACTGTAATGTGTAATTGGAACTGGGAAGTGAAATAAATAGTCAATGCATCTTTCCCAGCAATGTGGTCTCCAATCTCACATTCACTGTTATTTGTTGTAGAATGATTTCTATTGTAAATGAAAACAGCATTCCCATTACCAATACAATATGTAGCAGCTCTCTTCAGCAGACCTGTATCAGAATCATCAGGGTGTGTTTTCTGCAGCCTTTATGAGATAATTGTCTTCAAAACAGAACAGTTCCAGGGTTTTTGGTTTTTTTTTTTTTTTTTTTTTTTTTGTTCTGTTTTGTTTTAAAACAAGCCTGCACTTAAAAGTATAAACAATTAAGGCATAACCTGGTTCCAGACTTTGAATTTGGCTGCATGTAGAGTTTTCCTGTAAAACAAAAGGAAAGATGCAAGTGATTTTAACTGCTGGTATGGAGTGATACTATTATTACTGCTAATAAGCAAGTTTTTGCCTTGATTCTGCAAAGCTATAGGAACTTCCTGGTAGGGCAGAAAAGGGAGGAGAGAGGGGGAAAACAGGCAGCTGCTCTTAAAAGTAGTTCATGATACTGTAACTAAGTTCAAAGGTCTTTCAAGACGATTCTCCATTGTTGTGTGTTGCTAGGTGTAGTTCTGAAAGTTGAAGCTGAAAACTTGCTGAATTTCAAGATACTCTTTTTGCATTTTGGACCTGTTATCTGAGGTGTAGCATAATGCGGCAAGCTAACACTTAACTCTTGGTCCGTTAAGAACAAGAACTGCCAAGAATGATAGCATTGGTTTCGTTTTTTTGGAAGGGATGAATGACCATAAGTGATATTTTAAAGTTCTTCTGGTATCTGAAGTCATAATATTTTAGTGTTTGTTGAGGAATCACTTTTAATGGCCTAGAAATGCAAGTTAAAAGTTGTCTACGCTTAATTGTATTTCTGCTGTTACATGCTATTCTAGTGGCAAACAAACTGCATCCCTTTTCTGTTTCCCTACCTTACAAAGAGAATCATAGCTATGAAAAGAGGATGTTGATGTTTATTGGTGCCAAAAGGTAAAAAAGGAAAAAAAATGAATGCTTTTAACTGGAAATTGTTAACTTCAAAACCAGAGGGTTTATATTAAGTGCTGAATACTTGCTGTGTTGCCTTAATCTGGAAATAGTTCAGAGGTTTGTAATTCTCATGGCGAATTCTTTCCTATGCACCTTTCTCAGTCTTGTGATACAGGAGTAACTTGGTCTGAAACAATTGTCTGCAGATTTTGGTCTGAAATGACTGTGATTTGATATGTCAAGGTTCTTAATAACTAATATTGTTTATTCTTGTTGTATTTTATTTTCTCAGGTACCTTAGGAATGTCCAACAGAGACAGCTATTTTTATGCTGCCATAGTAGCTGTAGTTACAGTTCATGTGGTACTTGCTCTGTTTGTGTACGTGGCGTGGAACGAAGGTACTCGACAGTGGCGGGAAGGCAAACAGGACTAAAATGGAAATCATCATCCTCCAATACCTACAGACTGTAAATAGACTTTTTTTGTGTGTGAATTGAGTTGAAAGCATTCTTCAATGTAGTATATGTGAATACGAATATGAGACTAATGCCCAGCTGTACTTTGGTTAGAACAAGACTTAGGCTCTTCTCAGATGTGTGCCGGTGTTTTGTCTAATGCTGGTGAAAATTGTAACACTAGTCAGCCRCTACCAGGTGGGGTTGTAGAGGTCTTCATGTGAAATTAGAATGAAATAAGAGCATATAGCAGAGTGTGGGGAGGAATCATGCAGCTATTTTTACCATTCTTAACATTTTCCTGATTTTCTTTCTTTAGAAATAATATTGATGTGATGCAAAAATTATGTTTTGCCATAACTAACTTATTAGTTAGGAAAGCTGCATAACTTGCAATGCAACTCAAATGGGAGAGGTGTGTTTTCTATTTGTTGTGCATAGCTTCCTTATTTCCACAACATAGAATCCAACTGAGCATTGTTTTGTGCTAACACGTATACAGTCTAATTTTGTTTTTTGTTGTTGGAAGTAAAATAAAGGCAATGACTGAACAGGCAGCTCCTTACAGTAGTATGTTGTGCAGAGGCTTTTTAACTCCAGAGACCAAAAAAAATGCAAAACGAGTTGAGAAAGTCTTCTGAAAAACTTGCAAAGGAACAACTACTGTGCTTTGTTAAAGTTCTGTCATTATTTTCATATCAAAAACTAAAAAAGAAAAGTTGCTTTCTGACTTGTAATTCATTTGCAGGAGAAGTCTCAAGTTATAGAGAATCATGTCTGATGAATAARTTGTTTAAATAGCAATGCATGGTAGATGTGTTTAGTGCCTTTGTAATACTATGCTTGTTTGAGTCAAAAAACTAGATGAATCTTGTCTCATATCAGATGGAATTAGTCTTCTAGAAAAGTATTTTCAGTTTTAAAAGTCAAAAATAGAACTGGTTGGAAACTCAGGTGGTGTCTTTTTAATGTGAAATGTTAACTTTGTTTTTTTGCATTTTCAAATTTTTTGTTTATTATGGCATAAGATTCAACTTTTAATATTCTTTTTCAGTGTTATGGCTGGGTTGTCATACTACTGTCTGGCTTGCCTTTCTGTTCATCTACAATTAATCTTGATGCAAAGGAGATGATATAGCATTTTTTTGTGCGTGTGTGAATATGCTTCTGAGCTTCTATGCAAGTTCTGTTATATAATTGCATTGCTGGTGGTGAAATTCCAGACAAAGTTAACAGCTTTAACCCACTGAAATGGGCAGTAGAGGAATGAGTGAGAGCTGAGGGAGAAGACAAGCTGTAGCTGTCTGCAAATGACCTTTATGAAGCAGAACATGAGTTATTGCATTAAGAAAAACTATTTAAAGCTAGTTATATATTGTGGAATGATACATGTTGATCAGTTTTTTTGTTGTTTTTTTTTCTTGCTTGTGTATTAGGACTTCCTGAATTAAACTGTAGTGAGATTTCTTTTATAATCTGCCAGGATAACACCCTGAAATTTGTGTTGCTGTTAGCAAACTTGTTAAACTCTAGGGAAAACACATTATTTTCCCCCAGGGTTCTGGCAATGCATAGAAATGTCCTGCTTTTTAAGTGATTGTGCTTTAAGTCTTTTTGTTCCTTTGAATTTTCCAGGTTGTTGTTTTAATTAAGCATTTTCTAGAAGGTATTTTGTTTTGTATAGGACTTGGAATGTTTTTGATACCGTATTTGTCCTACATAAAATGTATCCACAAGTATGAGAAAAAAGAGCTTTTTAGCATTAAATGTGATAAGTTTAATGTTAAATTTAATGTTAAATATGACAGAAAGTGGCTAACRATGTGCAGTAGCTAACGGAAGTTGCTCCCACGGATCGTTCTCCTCCCTTCCATCCTAGCTGAGCCCCAGCATCCCCAGGGTGTGCTGGAGCTCAGCCGAAGCATGAGCTGTGAAGCTCACGGCTGCCCTGTCGCTTTGCACTAGTACAAATCAATATTTATTTTTGTTTCTGAACCATTACCTTTTCTCATCCAGAAGTCCCGGGTTGRATTGCAGCTGGCACACTGGAGAATCGCCTTGTAGGAACTTGAAATTTATATTTAATTTGTATAATGCCACACTTCATTTTTTTTCTGTTTTCCTGTATATGAACTGTATATTGTATAATAAATGCTGTCCTTTAATAAAGATTACTCTGCAATACAAGTTCCCCTGCTGAGAGCCAGTAAACGAATGCTTGTGCTGAACAGTTTTTGAGTTATGTCTTTAATACTGCTCGTGTAGTATAGCTTGTGACAAATAGATCAGTTTTAACATAGTTTTCTAGCACTTTTACTCTATTTATAATGGAGTGTAAATGGGAAAACTGTTGTTGAGCTCCATTAACTGGGTATTGTGCTATATGTATGCGATTTGTTTCACATACCAGAATCCCTAGGCACTAAAATTGCATTTCCTAGGAATGATAATTGCTCATTATAATTGTTTAGTTACAAACATCCRAAATGTTTGTTCATTATAATGCCTCAGGAGTGGGGAATAGCAAGAGCTGAGCATTCAGCCATGGGAAGGGCCTTTCTTTCAAGGTAATGCTGTGGCCCATGGTGTTCTCCATGGGGAAATACAGTGGCTCATGAGTCGCTGGGCAGCTGTGAGGGTGTTTGTTGCCTGTTCCTGGAAGCTGGAGCAACAGCTCAGGTAAGTGATGCAATTAAAACACTCAAGCAATGGAATTGCACCGTTAGAGAGCTCGAAGAACAGAACCTGCAGCCGTAAGATGTGAAGTGTACCTGGAATTAGATACTCAGMTGGTTTTTTTTGTTGTGCCYTATCAACACTAATATTAATTACACTTTGAACTTTGTTGCAGTCTCTTTAGGTTGGATGTTTACTTTCATATATCGGATATCCCAGCTTATGTCAAGGCTACTTCTGAGGCRTTTTTGAAATTGTGTTTTAGGGTTTGTATAATACCCTGTAGAGCTGTGGAATGATCAGTGTTATAGTTCTAGGGTTCTTTGTTGTTGTATAAAATGGTAAGAAAAACTTTATAATGATATATTTGTGGTACCGTGTTCATAAGTGTGTGTTCATTTTGTAACTCTGAATGGAGTTGGGACAATTGTTGCTAATAAGAAAAATATTGGGAAAACTTTGCCTGCRCAAGCTGTTCAATACTTGAAAATCACCTGGCATTTGGAAGTGAACCATCGCCTATCTGTATTGATTGACTGTTTTGCAGTTATGGCTATCAGTGAGTAAATATTTTGAGACTGAAAATGTAGTGGGAAATCCCTGGTATATTTCTCAGCTTTAAAAATAGTATAGGCAATTGGGGATACTAGAACTAGATCAGTTATTTTTCAGAATTGCTTTAATTTTATTCTGTATTGCTTCTGATCTTTTTGTTGGGCTTCTAAATGCCTGCAGAAAACTGTAGTAGGTACCCAGGCTGTGAAACTGTTCAAGTGAGCAGCTTTGATCTAATTCATCTATGAACTGCTCACGCTGAGTAGGAAGTCTCCAGAGAAAATAGTGGTTTTCAGTTWTGTGTTGGTAGTTATGCCAGATCTAACACTGATTAACGTTTTAAAGTTTTCAAACAAAGTGAATGACTATCCCCCTTGTATTGTTTAGGCAAGAGAGACTCTAGGAATAGCTGTCCTTATTTATCTGTGAGAAAACTCCTCTGTTATCTTTCCAGTGATGATTGTTGGGTACTGTGAAATAGGTTTAGAGTTTGATTCCTGCCCCATGGCACTAGCAGAGTTACAAACTGGATGGCAGGCTTTTCTGCATCATCCTGTGATGGTGGAGGGAAAGTTGATGCTGTATTACCTGACAAAATTATGTTCTTATGGCGTGTGTTGGTGAACTGTAACATGTTCAACATGATCATTGCCTTTTCGAAAGCTTTTGAGCAACTGCCCAGTTATTCTAGCCAGATTAGTCTAGCTCTGTTAAGTCATCTGATGGCCTCCCCAACTGGCGAGGGTGGTCTGAGCCTGGAAGCAGGGTCATTGATAATATTTCAGTAAGAAAGACATGGAAAAGGAGCAGGCTTTTAAAGGAAACTAAACTATATGTTATTACAAATAATGTAACACAGGTATGATTAAAATTTAGGTAGGCTGCAGCCCATGGGGAGGGAGGAGAGGAAGGGTTGTACGACAGCAAAGGAGTGTCTGGTRGGGATGGTGAGACCTGGAATGTGCTGGTGCAGCTCAGTGTTTGATGACTTAGCMCCATGTGTCTCTGTTTATCCCGCGGTTCTCCAGCGGATTATGCAGAGTCATTGATCTGAAATATTAAATGTAAATCACACAGAATAGTAAGCCAATTCCATTCCTAACTTTCAATTAAAATTGTTCATAGGTAGGCAGCTTTGCATCATTTTTGTGCATGGCCTGGGACACGTTCTGCTTTTGAATGTGCAAGCTGGCATTGTCACTAGCTCTGCTGAGTCAGGTYTTAGAGCAGGGTCAAGTCCTTGGAGTGTAAATATTTTTTAAAATACCTAAGAGTAACTGCCACTCTAAAGTCTCATTAGCTCTAATCAATTGATGYTTCAAGCAAGAAGCACAAGCTTCTTGTTTCAAGTTCACACAAAACAAGGGCCTTCTGTTTGATGGCTTGCGAGGAGAGGCTCTCTTGTGCTTGAATGGGGCTTACAGCAGGGAAGTAGTGCGTAGCTGGARGCCTCAAAGTCATTCTTGTATCTGAAGATACATGTGCTGTGAGTTTCTGGGACGGAGGGATGTAATTTTGACTTTTTTTTGCTAGCAGGACTGAATCATCCACATCTCCTGTGGSTGCCTTGGGGTGGTCTCTGCTTCGCATGGAATTTCATCTCCTTAAAAAAAAAAAAAAACCCAAAAAAACCCAAACAAACAAACAAAAAAAACCCCACAGATTCAGGTGGGTCCTATTTATGGGAAGTTTCTCACTCTAAACTGTAATATCTGAGACTGACTTTTAATGCTCTCCTGTCCTCCCGTTGCTGGAATCTGCTTTGGCCTGCGGGCTCTTCACCAGTTCATTCATCACCCACGATGAATCCATGTGGCCGTCTTGTATTTCTAGGAGTGATCAGGTGCTTGGTTTCAAATGTGCTTTTACAATAGTAAAAACTAATCATAGATTTGGAGAGCTTTGAATGCTTCTAGCTGGTCTATGCCACAGTGTGGTTTAATAGTTTTAATGTAAATAGCCCAGGGCACAWGGAGTGTGTTATTAATTAAAACTATTCTTAATTGAAGGATGATATATGAGTGAGAGAGCACACAAAGTTGAGCAAAAACCTCTGGGGTGTGGGCTCCTGCTGCAGGCATCACTGAGGAGCTATTTAATAACTTTACTGCTTTTCATTTTCAAGATGCAGGGCTTCTATAATGTTATGACCTGTCTTATTAATATGGCTCTCCTGGTGCTAGAGAAAGAATGGAAGTACCAAAATGTAGCTGTGTATCTGGACCAGCTCAATTAAAGGGAACCAGCGTTCCTGTCTTGTATCTGGTGGAGGCAGGGCACGGAAGAACCAACTTTCTTAAATCTTGTGTCAGTTTTAGCCCTTTACTGAAACAGTTGTTACAGCAAGTGACTTTATTTTGAGCATTGCTATAGAGCAGTTTTCTTTACAAGGCTGAGCTGTTTTTTCAATATAGTGTTTATTTTYTCCTACTGTTATGCATAGCCTTGGCAACAAACCAAAACCAAAGCCAACTCTGAGAATTTGAGCATTTGAACTCTTTTGGTGGCTTTGTGTGTTAGGTCCAGCTATATTTAAACACAGAGCAATTGTGCATCAGGGTCTGCAGAATCAGCCCCATGTCCCTCAGATTTATTGTGTCTCATACTATGCCAACT